AATGCCTGGAGTAAGAGGTCAGATCTCACTTTTTGTAGACAGCAGAAATGATCCTATTATTAGCCGTTGCCAAATAAGAGCATGTTTTTTTTTATTATTGTTGTTGTTCAAGCTTTTTTTTATTCATGGTCAATACATTTGCACTATTAACAGATGTTCAACTGAAAAATCAGCTACAAACCAAACAAACGGTGTCATACACACTCTAAAAATGAAATGTTGGGTTTACTTAACCATATTATGTTACCTGGTTCCACTTAACTGAGTTGAGCAAAAAAGTCAAAGCAACATACTCATGTTCTTTGGTTAAAAAAACTGGTATGTTGCTTTGAATTTACTCAACTCAGTTAAGTGGAACCAGGTAAAATAACATCCATCCATCCATCCATCCATCCATTTTCTGTACACGCTTCTTCCTTTTCAGGGTTGCGTGGGTCACTGGTGCCCATATCCAGCAGTCACAGTGCGAGGGGCGGGGTCCACCCTGGACAGGTCGCAAGTCCATCACAGGGTAAAATAACATGGTTAAGTAAATCCAAAATTTCATTTTTTACAGTGCAGAACTGTAGAGGTTTAGCTTGATTTGATGATGCCTTTATTGTCATTGTACAGAGCACAAGGCAATTTTCACCAGTATGTCATTTTTGAGCAAAAGTGGTTTTATAAACAGAAAAAAAATGAATTTAGCAAGGGTAATCATTTGGTTAGCCATTAGCTTACCCTGTCTTCAGCCTCTTTCTCAATTCTGCTATCAGAGTACTGACTATTAGGGGTGTAAGAAAATATCAATAAACTTAAATATTGCAATATTTAATTTCCCGAAACTGTATCAATTCTCTAAAGGCCTGTATCGATTTTTAATTAAGGTTTAAAATGTCAACTTTCATGCCAATGGTTCATTTTTATGTTGTAGTTTAGCCTCCGACCACTAGATGGCAGAAGTCAGCCGGAGAGTTTAATAGTAGCTCAGACATTAGCATTGTGAATAAACATTAGTACCATGCACTGATGGCTGAACCTGAGTGGATTAGACTGACACCTGCTGCCGTCTAAGCTGATGTAAGTATGCCAACAGTCCCTAATCAGTCAGAATGTCCGTAATTTAAGCCAACTTAAAGTGTCCCATTCGCAACTGTTATCAGCCGTCACGTTATGAAAGGCAGGTAGGCCTGAGCTCAGGGGGTCCCCGAGGGACAGTAATGAAGTGACCAAATGCAACGACCATATGAAACAGTGCATTGAAATGACTGGTTAATGTGCCCTGCGACACCCAACAACACAGCAGCAGCTTCATGTCATCCGTTTACTAAACTTTAGGACAAGATATAGGCTGTGTCCAAAACGACAGGCCGGGTCCTCCGGAGGACCCAGACTACCCGGTCGTGGCAGGCCGGGTCCTTGGTAGACCGGGAAGACCGGAAAAAAAGAGGCTGTGAATTCGGACGGTCTAGTCTCCCCTCCTTACCCCGGCGTACATCATGTCACCTAGCAACTGTGACGACGCTAAACAAGCAAACTTAAATCAAAATTAGAAAAATATCAATACATTAGCATTATTAATATCACAAAACTATAAAATTAACTTTATGGTATTATTTGAAGAACTAATTGACGCGCTGTAGGTGCATGTTTATTTTG